GCTTCAGGGTATTGAAAAAAGGAACAAAGGGTGTTTGTGAGCTGTGTGGCTCTTTGGCCTAAAGTGCACCCACCGCAATAGTAGTCATTTTGCTTGGAAAAATTCTAGAATTCATTCTTTCGAAATGAGTTATGATCTTAACACATCTGTTATCATGTGTTGTGAGCAAAGGTGGCATGTAGCCTCAGTCTAAATGGGCAAAAGGGCAGGTGGATGCGGTCACTGTAGGCCACCCAAAATGGATGTGCATCAGCTCAGCCATGGCAAGGGGGGGCTACAGATCCTGTAACATCACATCCCCATCCAAAAAAAAAACAACCCTCTGCCAAACACCTATTAGCATCACACAGCATATGCTCTACTTTCTTATAGTCCATCCCTGTTCCTCACACAGCACCGTGACTCTTGGGTTATGGGCTGATGCTGAAGCCTCAGGTCCACCTTCCATTTTCTCTCCCTTCTTCCAACCTCACCACCTCACAAGCCTTTTCCACCACGAAGCTGAGACAGTTTTCCCTCCTGCAAACCTCTATTCCTCCCATCTCAGCTTTGTGGTTCTCCTCAGCACAGGAGAAGGCCAGGGATGAAGAACTGGTCCTTCAGACAGCTTGGGAGGTGAAGAGCAGGGATGTGAATTACCAGCTGATTCTGCAAAGTCACAGCGACGAAGCTTTGCCACCACAGAGATTCACGTGGAAACACAGCGTGAAGCCATGAACACACAATTAGGGCTACAGCTCAGGATCTGTCCAAAGGAGGTTCTCCCTGATGAAGGAAGGAGAAATTTGCTTATGCATAACTATCCACAAAAATAGCTGAAGGCAAGGACAGGGAAATGAGTAGGAAAGAAAACCGGAGTTTTTCTGGCAGAGCCCGCTTTGCTGCCAGTCTGAGTCCCTCTTCTGAGCAGGTAGCAAAGGCTGCACCAGCACCAGCTGCTTCTGGAGATCCTTTTCATTTAAACAAAGAGGATCTAACTATGGAGGGCACTCACTTTCCCTATAAAGCATTGCAGGGTGAGAGGCATCCCTCTCCGGGCACACATTGTCCTACCCAGCAGTGACATCCCAAAGTACCCGGAGAGAGATCAGAGCCCAGTTACTGCTCTTTAATGAGTTAACAAATCTTACTCTAGCAGAAAAAAAAAAAAAAAGGCGGGGGGGTGGGGAAAGATGTATTTACAGTCTAGCTCCTCACAAAAACACCTTGGAAAAATAGACATGGCAACTGCTCAGCATCAGATAGCGTCTTCATCAGGGCAAGGCCTGAGCCACAGAGCAATGGGCACCATGTGGGGCAAATGCAGCTTTTGGTTTTCTGCAGACAGGGTTTCTTCCACCTGCTAAAATTGTCTTCAGCACAGGGGACCAGGCTCAGGGAGGGGCAGAGGCATTTGGAGCAGGTGAAAGGCTTTGTGGCTCCTACAGGCAGTGGGCATGAGGAGGGTGATTTTGACTAAATACTCAGACCGATTAATCTCAGTCTCAGCTGTAGCTCAGTAAAGGATAACTCAGCACCTCCCCGGGTAAGTTCTTCCCATGGCATAAAACCATCCAAACTTCAGTGAAGGTGTAAATTCTGCACCTTATTTCTGCTTTTAGAAACTGTGGTTCATGTTGGGGGAAAAGTTGTCAGCTGAACAGCCTGGGCAGGGGGAGAGGAAGGGAGAGGTAGCACCAGCAGAGGAAAGCATCCTTCCAAAGCCAGAGATCTGCCCAGACGTGCCAGTGCCGTGAGCCAAGGAGCTCCTCGGGGGAGAGCTCAGGCCCCAGCTCATCCATTCCTCGGCCTTTCCAGCAGTTGTCTCCAGCCAGCAGCAGCAGGGAGAACGCTTAGTACATTAATAAATCCCATAATACTGAATAAAGTACTTTGGTTTATGGCTTTGCTATAAGACCTCACCCCTGGGTACTTATAATTAACTGCACTAGAAAAGAAATAAAGATTTCAATTCTTTTCTCACCAATTTTCTTTCTTTTTAAAAAAAAAAAATATTTTTTTTAAATCACCATTGTTAATAAAAAAAACCTCTCCTGATATTTACCTGCCAGAGTAGGAATATTGATCTCCATGCAGAGAGAAGGTGCTTTCCTTATTGCACATCTCACTGGCTAATCCACCTTTCCCGGCTACAGAATATTACTGTGGCTTTATTTTCAGAGCCGTTCCGTAATTCATTGCTCTCCATGATCATGCCTAACCCCGTAAGCCCGGGGAGGTGTGGGGAGAGTGTGTGGGAAGAGTTTGTTTCAGTCCTGCATCAGACTTCACCTCTAAGAGCAGGCAGCTGCCAGCATCGCCTGTTGCGAGACCCAGAGCAGGCGCGGAGGCTGGCAGGGTGCAGGCAGCTCACGCTTCTCTCCAACCACCCCTTTTCTAGCCTTTTCGCACCTTCTCTTTCCAGGTTGCCTGCAGACAAAGTTGCCTGTATAACAAAAAGTTCCCACTGACCTCAATAAGAAGGGGTCGGATGCTTCGGTGTTATTGCACATGCTCAGCGGTGGGTTTAGCTGGAAAAATCAGCCCACGTGTAAAGATCCCGCCAGCAGCACAGATGAGACATCCCCTGATCCACGCGGTTAAGTCTCTCAGACTCCACATCATTCAAAGTACAGGGAGTTTTATATTCCTTTATTAAAGCACACAAGTAGCCACCTAGGAAATTGTCATTTACACTGCAGTAATTGTAAAATCATACCAACACAACCATTTCAGAAGAGAATTCAAGAGCCTGCGCTTCAGCCGGCCAGCTGATCGCAAGCCTTTAACTCCATAGGCACAGTACAATAAAGCTTTTGCTTTCAGGTTTTTGTTGCTCTTATAACAAACTCCACTGAGCATTGAACAGAATGCCTAAACACATTCACTGCGAGAGCCACAGAATTGCCCAAAAGCTTAGTAAACACACATTTATTGAGTACTTGATTATGTAAGATCGTTGCAGCATAGTCTTTATAACAAAATCATCATTGAAAAAAGGTGAAACACTGGTATATTTTTTCAGAGGACATAACTCTATTTAAAAACCCAACCAAGAACTACAAAGGGAGGGTGGCTGTTCCTCAGCCAGCCACTAACGAACGCTCTCCTGCTTCCTAATGGCACTGCAAAAAAAAGCCCAGCTTCATGCACAGCCATACCCAGCACCCTGTCAGACTGTAGGACAGCTGACGGGCTGAGAAAACTCCCGGTTGCTCACTGACCAACGCTGTTATTGTAGCCATGAACACGACAGCCCACCAAACTCATTTTTTTCCAAGGGCACGGATGCAGCTTGCCAGCAGGGAGTTCTTCTTTACGTGCTTGGGGGTTGTATGAGATTTCCTGGTGAGTGCTTGGGGATGAACACCCGTTGCAAAGTGCTTAAAGTGCCCAGATTTCCTCCTCCCCCTATGTTATTCAGGGGAAGCGCTAATTGCAAAGTTGTCTCTGGTATCCCTCCAGATTCCCAGTCAAATGCTAATCAGCACGAAAATCCTCCCAGCTTGAGCAGTTTACAAGGGATCTGGGTCCTATACGTGGGACACTGGAATTGCATCTATATTTTAAGCCCAACCATAAGGGAAACACTCCACATAGAAATATAACATTGGATTCTTTTATACAGCATATATAAAGAACATGACAGCATTAAAATATTGGCAAATCAATACATTAAAAATACAGAATCTCGTAGACCAGAGCACAAGAAATATATTCACATGAAATCTTTACAGTCCGGACAATGCTGCCGGTTCTCGCGTTGGAGTTGACCTCCCATCTCCAAAGGGAGGTCGTTGCTTTGCTTCCCCATCAGCACCACTGGCCACCACCGGCCAGATTTCCCAGGGCTGTTGTGCTACAGGGAGAATACAAGTCTGCTGTCCCTGCCAGCGCGGAGGGCACTCGGTGGTTAAACTCTTCGGGAATGCTTTCATTATCAAATGAAATGACGGGGCATTTCATTTTACGCAAAGCTTTGGCCTACTGGGAGAGGAAAATCAATCTATGGTTGGCAGGAAGGGTGGTACCTTGGCAGCATTTCCCAAGCTTTCTCAGCATCGTGGATCTTATTTCATTAAAAAAAAAACACAAAACAAAACAAAAAAAACCAAACCAACCACCTTTTGTATGGTTTGTGCACTGCTTATCTCATGTGGAGCAGGTGGGACTGGTTTAGGCTGCCCATTCTACCAGAAATGTCCATGTCTTCTGGAGGAGCTGCCATTTTGAGTTCTCCAAAATGGCTTTCCCCAGTACATAAATACATGTATACATAGGCCACTTTATTCCTCCCTGCTCTCACTGAGGAAGATCCCCAAGGCATGCTTGGCAAGATGAAATCCTACAGTATAGCTGTACCTCTAGCACTATAGAGATGTGTATATATAGACACATTCTGTCCATTATTACAATGGAAACACAGAGTTAAAAAAAAAAGGCAATAGCAGCATGTAAACAAGGATTTGTGTTCATTTCATCCATCTTTTCTTCCTCCTCTTCTGAGCTACATTCATCAGTTTTGACAGACCCTTCTCACCCCCCTGCTCCCCTCTCGAGGCAGAGAGTTTTACTGCGGACCCCGTCTGCAGGAGCCGATGTTGTCCTTCCCCAGGCTCCCAGCCACCGGGCAGTTTGAATTTCTCTTTCCATCAGCTCCTTCTTCTCCCTCCCCGCCTCCTTCCCTTCGTGATGACTCATCCTGGAGATGATCTTGGGTTTTGTCTGATGCCTGCTGCCCACTTTGGCTTCAGCAAAGTCTAATTTCGGAGCAATGCTGCAGGAATAAAACCCGCACACGAGCGCTTGGTGAGCCACAGGAGCTGTTAACCTCTTAACTCAGGGAGGAAAAAAGAAATGGAAGAGTTTGCATTTTGTCTGCCTCCCAGCAGCAAAAGTGTAAGTCCCAGGAGCAATGCCTGTTTTAAACCCTTAATTCCTGAAGTCTTAATAATGTTGCAAACCACCAGGGTTTTGCAGGAAATCAAAGGGCTGATTTCAAACATGTTCCTTAGTGCAGGGTGCACCGGAATTAAAAATGCATCAGATGGGCTCACTTTTTCTTCATGCTCTTGCAGTATCCGGTTTTCCCAACCCCCAAAATTGTTTCCTTGGTTTCTCGCCTCTCAGTTTTGAGGTCCTGCTAAAGAGCTGTTATCTGAGTTAGCTCTGACGTGGGGGTGGTTGGACTCTGCTGGGCGACAGCCACCATGGGAATTTCCATGCCTAGTCATGCCGGATTGTTAGTCCCCTCCGAGTTCTTGCAGGCATAGGCCACGTCCTTGGCAATGCTGCACATCCTATTGGACATCTGGAGCTCGGTCCTGAAGGCGGTGGGGAAGCAGAACTTCTTGAAGCACGCCTTGAAGTTCTCATCTAAGAAGGCATAGAGCACGGGGTTCAGGCTGCTGTTGGCATAGCCCAGCGCGGTGCAGAAGCAGGAGATGGCCAGCTCGAGCTCGCTTTCTGCCTTGGCACCCAAGCATTGGACCAGCACGAAAATCTGGATGGGAGTCCAGCAAATGATGAAGACTGCCACCACCACCAGGACCATTCGGGTGATGCGCCTCAGGTTTCGGTCCTTCTCCTTGGAGCCTGAGAGGACGCGGACGTTCTTCAGTCGTCTGATCATGAGACTGTAGCAAATAGTGATGATTAACACAGGGATCATAAAGGAGAAGAGAAAGACACAGATGCCAAACACTGGATCCCAGTAATCCACGGGTGAAGGGAGTTTAATTAGACAATCAATTTCTGCAAGTGAGAAAATAAAAAGGAAAGGAAGATCAGCAAAGCCATATCAAGAAGAAAAGCATCTGCACGTTCAGTTTAGTTTGGGCTTGTTTAATACTGGAAGAGCAGCAGCAGCGATGCAGAGAGGCAAGGGCAGAAAGGAAGGCGTTAAAATAGCTTCACAGCAGAGAGCTCACCACGCTGATGAAACTGGTACCCCTCTCCAATGGCTCCCCAAGCCCACGGGCTCTCCTGGCCACCACCACCTCCCACCCCTTGGACGCCTTTTTACTGACCGTTGTTTTCATTCTCCGCAGATCCCATCACCATTGCTGGGATGCCAAAGACAGAAGCCAGCGCCCAGATGCAGACGTTCACCACTTTGGCCTTGTGAGGAGTGCGGATGTCTAGGGCTTTGATAGGGTGGCAGATAGCAATGTAGCGGTCCACGCTCATCATCGTCAGGGTGAAGGTGCTTGTGAACATGTTGTAGTAGTCTATAGAGATGGCAATCTTGCAGAGGACATTGCCAAAGGGCCAGAAGCCCAGGAACGTGTCTGTACCCTGGAAGGGTAAGGTCATCAGACACAAGGTATCAGCCAGAGCAAGGTTAAAGATGTAAATGTTGGTTGCTGTCTTCATCTTGGTGAATCTGCAACAGAGGAAAGAGCAATGGTTAGAGCTCCACCTGACCATGATGGGCAAGACATTGAAGCCTACCGAAGAGGGCGTTCTGCCACTTCAGGAAGGAGATGCTGTGTTTTTCTAATGCAACAAGAGATTGAACACCACCCTTTCCTTTCTACCTCCCACATGCTTATCAACACACAGCTCAACCCAGCTCCTACAACAATACAAACGGTGCCTTCGCAATCAGTTTCATGGGCAGGAGAACCTTATTTCCTTAGACTGCAAGCGAGGACCACGAAAGCCTGAGGTTGTCAACTCAGAACATACTTTCTGAAAAACAACATCGGTAAGGCTAATCTAGGATTTCATCACATGTGGCTTCATTATTATAGATGTTGGCAAGAGCTTTAGGCAGTAAGCTGATTTGGAAGGCATCATATGGCCCAGGGGTAAGCTGATCAGCCATTTTGTATGGGCTCATAGCCAAAGACTATGGCTAATGTGAGCTAACAAATCAGAATGGGCAAGATGGCCAGCCCTGGCCAGTGGCAGCTAAAAACTGGTAAGGAATGAGGTTTGTATCAGAAATCAAAACGTCACAATGGATCTTTCTAAAGAAAGGGGTAGTTTGCGGATAAAGTCACGAGTCAGCTCTACTGCAAATGGGTTTTGTCATTTCTATATTACTTTTACCGCATGAACTGACTGCCCCAAAAGAAGATTCACCTTGCTCTAATGGCAATCATCTCCTTTTTACACATGGGAAATGATGCAAAAAAAATGTGATCACCTTCCCAAGGATACATGCAGAGTCTGCAGAAATGGAAACTCAACAGTGACTCTGTGACTGAATCTAAAATTTCAGCTCCAGGATGTTCCTCTCATGGGCAAAATAAGAGCACAGATACGTACAATTTTAAAACTACAGCTCATCTATCATTTACTATACTAATGGCTTTTGCAGAAATGTTGCCAGAAATGGCAGACAATGATGTGTGTTATTAACGGAGGGCAAGTTCATTTGAGGGTAACACTTAAACTCATAAACTACTGCACTATTTGCAGTTTGATATGTGTTGGAATATTATGGGGTCTGATCTGACCCAAAAAGCCTTTTGTCAAATTGATTTAGAACAGCAAACCCACAACTGCACTCCTCAGCACTGTACCCCACCAGCCCAGTGATGGTCTGAGCTTTAGCTCTTGATTATTTGAATGCTTGGAGGAACATTACCATTGTCACACTGTGAACTTTGTTGAGACACATGGTGACGTAGCCAGGTTTGCAAGAATAACAGCCAGGGGATATACAATCCAGAATATAAACTCTATTATTTTACCCCTCTTAGAGCTCTAAGCTGTACTTGTATTAGAAGTCAGATGTTTGAAAATGGCTTCAGAAAGCAAGAACGATCAAACATTTGATCTTGAAAGCCAAGGGAAGCTTTTGGAGCAGGTGAACATTGATGGAAACACTTGAGGTCCCCACATAAGCCTGAGTCAGGCTCCTCCTGGTCCAGAAATCACAGCCACCAAGCAAGACAGTGGGTTCTTAGAAAGCCAGCCCAGATCAGATAAACTTACATAACCAAAAGCAATAGAGGAAAAATATCAGTGTCTTTCCTATTGCGAAGGGATGAACAAGCAAAACACAACCAGGCAGCTGCCAGGGCTTTAAAGCTTTGGGACTTCCTAAGCAGAATTACTCAGACAGGCTCCAGTGCTGTGAACTCCAGAGCAGCAGCATCTCAGGGTGGGCAAGGTTTGCTTTTTTGTTTGAATTCTTGCAGTTGGCATAAATGAGGCAATGCACACAGGGGGCATGAGATGAGTCTGTGAATGAATTCAGACACTTTCCCCTCTAGGTCAGCAGGGGGGGTAATTAAAATTAAGAAATGAAATCACTGTTCTTCATCAGCCCACACAAATGTAAGTATTGTCAGCTCAGGCTTCAGGAAATTATTGTCACCTAAGACTGTGTTAGCAAAGGTCTCCTGAGAGCTGTAGTCTTCCTCTGCATACCACAGACCTGGCTGGGCTCGCCCAAGCTTCCCAAAGGTCAAGTTTGTCCCAGTCCATCCTTCCAGGAGGACTGGACTTGGAGGCAACTCATCAACATGCCTCTAACCCTGACTGCTTTCCTGATGTTATGACTTGAGGGAATAACAATTGCATTTTTGAACAATGATGAGCAGCTTTACTGTGAAACAGAAAAAAATTAAAGGTTGGTGTTTGGTTTTTTTAATTGACCAGCGGAAGAAACAAGCAGCGATCCACTCACCCCTACCACCCAATCCAGCATCCATGGGGAACAACATTGCCTCTATACATACCCCTGTCCCCAGCACAGCAAGAAGTTTGGGGCATCTCAGCTAACCCTGAGCTTGGGGTGTGCAGATTGCAAACCTTCAGCTCCCTCCTGCACCCCTCCACCCCAGGAGAACTCACCAGACCCTTTCCTCCAAGATGCTTCTCAGCAAGAATTCAGAGTCCAGGCTCAGCCCAGCCCTGCAAAATCCGCTCTCCCCCGATGCACAGATCCCTCTCTGCTGCCTCTTTCCTTGCTCCCTCCGAGGTGACGGCAGAGCTGCCTTCGACACGGGGACATGCTGGGGCAGCTGGCCCACTGCTTACCTCCTTCAACCCACCTTAAGTGGATTTTAAGGCTGATTTTGTGCTCTTGAAAGGTGGGGAAATTAATTTACACCTAATTAATTACTTATAGCTCCACTTTCTCTGCACACTGAGAGCCAACAGCCATTATCCCAACCAACCAGTGTTCCCAAACATTTCCAGAATGTTCAGTACAAACAAAAATCACTTAATCACTTCTCTGTGGATTAACCTCTTTTTCTTTTCCTCCGGGAACTAAGAGTGTTCTCTTTCTTAATCTGTACCAAAAAAAAGATAAATTAAACTCTCGGGCTCTAGGAGGCACCTAAGGTCCCCCCCAGGGCACAGCTCCGATGCAGATAAGCCTGTGGCCTCCACAGGGGACATTAGCTCCCCGCTGAGCCACTTTCTTGCACTTGGTCATGGAAGCAATTTCCTAATGGAGCATCTCCCACAGGGCGGTTCTCAGCTCTCCGGCCAGCTCCACCTTTGTCACAAAAGTAATCACTTTGTTCTGTTCTCCCGGCTGCTGAAGCCTAAGAGGAAAAACGTCTGGATATCAGCTCAGCACTCGGCTTCCCCCTCCTTTTTGCTAAGTGGACCTCAAGCAGCGTTACCTTGCTTCAGCAAGGGGAACGCAGTTTGGGAGAGGAGGAGATGGGTAGGAAACAGCTCTTCCACATACTTGGCTTTGAGGTCCTGTTTTTCCACAAGGACGGATTCTGTCCCTGGCTGAGCCTCAGGATGAGCTGCAAACCTGTTGTTTTAGCATCACCCCCTCCCTTCTGCCCAGCCACCCCAAGGCTGCAGGGCAGCAAGCAGCTCCAGATGCTCCAGGGCTAAGGACCAGCCAGCTACAGCAACCCTACAACCCAAAACGGGGCTGCAGACACCAGGGGCAGGGGGACCGCAGCAAAGCCTTCAACCCTGGGGAACCATGAGCATTATCTCCAGGAGCTCTCTGCCTCTCGCAGCCTCTTGATTTTGATACTCATAGCTCCAGCTAATTAGGATGCAGACAGTGCTGTTCACCTTGAGCAGCTCCCTCCGTTCCCACCCCACGCCCTGGCATCGGTGACAGCCTTCGCTGCCCTGGACACGCACAGGAAAGCAAAACAGAGCGGAAAAGGCTCAGGGAGGATTTTTGCCAAGCTGCTCCCACTCTCTGACAGTGGAAATCAAGCACCAGTTCACTGACATCTCTGCTCCCAGCCAGCTCTTAGCCCACAGGTTTTATGAAGCTGATATTTGATCTGGCACGTACTGTCGTGATTTGTGTCCTCCCAGCCATACACCCACACTGTGCTCTCTGTGTCCCTGCTGCTCTGATCACCTTTTCAGAGCCCCTCATCCTGAAATTACCCAATTCAAGCCAGTTTGTTCTTAATAGTTCAATAGGCCACAAAAAAAAAAACCAGAGAGGACAAACTTGAGGACAAATTTAAATCACTTTGGACTATGAAGCCAGATGCTACAGCAAAAACAGACAGCAACACCAGCACATAAAAGCCTATTAATTACCTGGCGGGATGGTGACTGATTAACAGGGGTTAAGGAGTCTGCCGCCAGCCAGGGCGAGCAGCAACACTTTGGGACAGATGATTTTCTTGCCCTTTGAGTCTCGCTGCCATGGCTGGGTGACACTGGTGCCCTCCCTCTTCAAGGTGCTCTCTGGGGGCCAGCATGGATGGGGACATTGCATGGCCCCAATCACCGCCATGCTGAGGGCAGTGGCTGGGTGGCTGCGGCTGCAAAAGCCTCTGCAGCTCACCCGGGCACTCACAGGGATGCTCATGCAACCCCAAGTGGGCACACAGCCGTCGGGAACAGCATTTTGGTTTAAGGAGGGTGTTCACCAGCATCCATCCTGCAGCAAGATGCTCTCATCCCTGTTCATGTGCTGGATCTGCCTCTGCTGAGCTGCTCAGGTCTTAAACGCTGCTTGGAATTGCCCAACCCCTGGAAAGCACTGGGAACCGGAGTCCCACATTAAACATCACGGAATTACTGCTGCACATGGGTAACTCCCGTTCACTCATCCCACCAAAGCCAGGGGAAACCAAGACCCCTCCAGCACACATTGGAGTCGCAGGAGCTGTGTTGGCAGGGGCCACACACGGCTGTTACGAGCCTTGTGGATGCGCCCAGCTCATCTGGGCTCATGGGGACCTGGAAATTGGGGAGCTGCAGACCTGTCCTTTGCAGCAGGTCCCCCTCCTGCTCATCTCGCCATCCTTCCCCAGCTCCAATCACTCTGCACAGCACAGAGCCCTTGGTGTGGGCTTCCCTTCTCTACAAGTTGCAACAGTTGTATTTTTCACCAGGGAAAACTAAAAGAGGCTAATCTGGAGAGAGACAAGGTCTCACATGGTCCCACTGGTGTCCACTGGGTCCATGCTGCATTAAATACTCACTTGATTTCAGCTCCAGGACACACAGCTGGTCAAGGCTTTTCCCTTAGAAAGCTTTCTATTAAAAAATCAGCATCTCTGCAATGTCATAATTAACTTCATTTTCCCCATCTTATCACAGCCAGCTGCCCTCACCCCTGTTCTCAGGGATTGATGCAGTTTTCAACCAAAATAACAGCTGGCACAGCCATCCCCAGGCAGCCACCCAGCACAGGCACCTCCCCATCACATCCCTCCTCCTAAAGCTTCACCTGGAAGCAGCAAATGGAAGTGTAGGGCCCTGACAGTCATAATCTGCCTAAACAGCTGCTTAAAATGCTCTGAAACAATGTTCTTTAATAGGGAGAGCTGAGCATCCCCCATACTTTGCTGGGCTCCCAACTGAAAGCTGCCATGGCAAAGTGCCCTAGAAACGAGGCATCATTCCCTCAAGGGCCTGATCCAGGCGAGCAGAGCCAACACTGAGGAAGGGAGTCCTCCAGATCATCACTGCTGAGCATCGTAGCAGCATGATGGAGCTGGGGACAACAGAGGACTTCCCGGACCAGAAGCTTCATGTTGTCCCTGGTGGAGGCTTGGGGGTCTCCGTCACACCCCGTGCAGCAACACCTGGGTCAGCATCATCCCCAGCCACCCCCAGGGCCATTGCAAGAACAATATATCCTCCTTCGCCTTCACTTTTCTTCCTAAAAACAAAGCTCTGGGGCATCCAGCCTTGCAGCATTTAGTTACTAGATAAAAGGGACCTCAGCAGCTTGGTTTCCTCCACTCTCCCCCCAAACCCTCTCTGCCTCTCATTAAAAAGCAGTACAGGAAATATATGCAGAAAAGCACAAACAGCAGAAGGAGGGAGGGGAGGCATTATCTCCACTGGCAAGGAACTCCACAATGAGCAAGCAGAACAAAGCCGCAGACAAGGCAGGTTTCCACAACAGGCCCTTTGCTGTCCAGGAAATCGTGTTCTTGACGAGAGCCCTTCTTGGTCTTATCTAATGCTGAGCAGCGCTAATTGGAAGGGGATTGACAGTCACATGATGACCATGTCTATAAATTAATCATTTCAAGTGTTAAATCACTCCAAATATAAGAGAGATGTAAGCTGGGTTCTACAACAGAGGGGAAAACCCAGAGGAGGCTTTGAATTTGTATTTTTGAAATACCAGGAGATTTTAAACTTTTCCATCGGTGCTGCAAAAAACTCATTTGAGAGGAACAAAAAAACCAAGACTTCCTGATGACTCCAGTTTCCTTGAGTGCTGATATTAGAGTCTTTTTATTTCCCAACTCCCTCAAAAACAGGAAACAATTACTGTGTACGTCATCGTACCGTTCTTTTTTTGGAAGATAATACACCTTTTTGTTATAGGTTGTGTAGCAAGCTGAAGTCTGGTTATCCCTGGTGAAATATAAGCACGGAAAGAGAAAAAACAGCTTTTGTAGGGTGCACCATACCTACAGATGGTAGGGGTGCAGCACAGAGGGTTTAGCAGTCTTTTTCCCATTAATGGAAGAGATATATCGCTAAGAGTCCCAAAACTCCACACTGACATACCAGCGACCAACTTTCAACCTACTGAAAAAAAGACGCTAAGTCATGAAGCCCAGAAGCACCAATGCCCCAGTCTGGGGAGAAAACCTGTGCTTGAGAGGTCATCAACATCCTCCTTGCATGGCCACTAATTCGGCAGCTCTGCATGAATCAAATCTGCATACATGATCAGGGTCAAGAGTTTGAGATATTGAGTCCAGTTTACCACCACACCTGCTCCTGACCTTAATGGGCAGAACAAGAAGAGGAAAATCCTGGGCAGAGATAACCAAAAGTTGCAGTTACTCACCAAACCAAGAAGGGTCATTTTGCTGAGTGTTAGTCTCAGCCAGCACTGAGCTCCCAGGAGAAACTGGTGGGGAGAGCCAGGGGGAAACAGCAGCTTCTTCTACACGTGCTCTAGCTCAGTTATAACTCCCCAGCACACTTTATTCAAGGGGTCCCTCCAGACTCATATGGGAGCGGTTTTTGGAAAAACAGAGGTGAATCCCCAAAAAGGAGTGCCCAAATAATTAAAACTTCTATTGGCTCTTCTATATATACAGGGATTTACTGGATAAAGGGGAAACAGAAGTGGAAAAGGCCTGGGGGAGATGGGGCTGACACCAGTCTTCAGTTTTCAATTGCTTAAAACCAGAAGATACAAAAAAAAAAGTTAAGTTCCAGGGGAAATTTCAGTGCTAAATCCCCCTTTTCTTTTCTTGGGTCCCATTTACCCAACTGGAAGGTATCAAAGCCAAACAGGAGTGGAACAAAAGGCACCATTTTGAAAGCAGGACCCCGCATAGCCACAGCGCACATCCACCCTGACTGGGATGCTGGTTTGGGACATTTGTATTCTTGGTGATACACTGGCCACGACCCTGGGCAGGGGCCAGCAGGGTCCTGCTGTCCACATCCCTTGAGACTTTTGCAGACAGGGTCTTCTGTCTGCAGACTGCCAAATCTTCTCCTTCTGACACACATTTAAGGTTCATGCAGGGTGCACGGATTCCCTTCCCCTGCCCGCACACCAGCTCAGTCATTCCCAGGGAGCTGCATCGCTGTGGGCCAGAGACTTCTCACTCGCAGAGACTCACTACTCACCACGCTTACACGCACCCACAAACACTGTGCCTACTTGAATCATTGCTACTACACTGAACAGAAACACGAGCTCTCCAAACGTGGTACTGCAGCACCGCAAACCTCCTCTCTCCGTCTCCAGATTCTTCAGGGCTAACATGATCCCTTCTCCCTGCCATAAACTCCTTGGCAGGAAGAGCACGGACAGGCGGTCTAATGAATAGTCATGTCACTTTGCCCTTGTAGCAGAGATTTAGCCGCCATTCACCGACCTGTGATACTGAAAACTTAATTTTGCAGCATCTCCCCCAGCCGAGTTGTGTGTATTCAAGGGAAAGATGCTTTGGAAGCAGCAGGGCTCCTGGCAGGAGCAATACTTAATCTCATCAGTGTCTGAATACCTGCTAAAGATTTTCATCCTCTGTTGCAGGAGAAAAATTCACCCTGTCTTTGGCAGCATCCACCTGCACCAGGAATCTGCTCTGAGACATGTATAAAATGGAAGCTCACTCCTTAACATACAGGGTACAGAGATCAAAGGGCATTGCTAGCTTTTGACACAGAATCACAGCCCTAAAGGTTGCATAAACTTATTTTGCACTTACAGGGAGGAACAAGGTTTCTGATTCCAGAAAATAGGGGGACTTGAATCACAGCAGAACCAGACAGTGACATTTAAAATGCCAGCAATGTGCAGGGAGGCTGGACAGTGCTGCTGGAGTGGTGCATGCTCCGTGCTCTGTCCCTCTGCTCTCCTGACTTCAGTGTGAGGAGCCAGAGAAGTTGCCCTGTCACATCTTATTTACATTTATAGCTTCCAAAGAGTTGGAAGAGCTATATTTGTGATTTTTTTTTTTTCCCCTGTAAAAGCAAGACTGAGCCTCCCAGCAGGCCCTTACCTTGCAACTAGGTTCAGCTTTGGAAATTACCAGCTCCCAGATGGAGCAGCACCTGCAGCCACAGTTTGGGTGCTGGACACGGCACAGGAGGGAGAGGTCCTGTTAAAGATCAGGCACACCCTGGCAGCGGGATGCTCCCAGCACTTCACCCTCCCTGAGGACATCCAGCTCCCTGTCCTGCAGTTTGCAAAAGCGCCCCATTTTTTTTTTTCTTTTCTTTTTTTTTTTGAGCAGATTTGAATGCTCTGTTCCATTCTCTGGGTTAAACTTTAGGAGGCACCAGAGGGCAGCTGAAAGCTGGTGGGAACCTCCATCACAGCCTAGGAAGGGAGAAAAACAAATAAAACCAAAACAATAAAACGAATGCCACATCGTTACCTCTAAAGCACATCACAACTACCAGGGAAGCGCCTGCCTTGCTTTACCCACCGCAGGGATTTCAGGGGGAAGGTCTGCCCCCCTCACAGCCCTCCCCAGAGCCTCCCTGGCGTGTTGCCTGCGTGTCCTACCTGACGATCACATACATGACGGAGCAGTTGCCCACCAGCCCCACAATGCACACAATGGAGTAGACAACCACAATGGTGATCTTGATGCTCAGAGGCAGAAAGCTGTCCCCCGTGCCGTTGTTGAACCAGTTACTGGGGAGAAAGCTCAGGTTCAGCATGGAGGAGTCGTTCAGCAGCTTTCTCAGGTCAGGGTCTTCCAAAATGTGGGCAGGGAAGAGCGGGTCCATCCTGAAACACCAGCCTGTGCCAAGGACCTGGGGCACCGAAGAGACAGTTTTAAGATCTGCTGATCCATCGGGTAGCGCGGGACCGTAGCGAAGCGTGCGCGTGAGAAACGCTGGGGGGGGGGGAGGACGATTTATTGCTGGGGAGAGCGCAGCCCCCCTCAAACCTCCCCAAGAGCATTTTAATGGGCTGCAACCCTGCGAGCTTGGTGCACCCCGAGCACACGGGGAGCTCACGCATATCTCCACACCGCCAGCGCAGGGGACATGCGGGCTGCACAACGCCATCCCTCCCAAAACCCTTGGATGCTCCTACCTGCCTGCCGGGTCGGTGAGTCCCAACATACGGTTTTGTACCCCCAAACCTCCCCCCCACCCCAACGGTGCCCTCCGAAAGCCGCCGCAGCATCCCACTGGGGCTGGGGTACAACCCCCCCCCCCAGCTCCGCCCCTGGTAAAAAGGTAGAAAAAAAAGCCCAAAGTTGAAAATAAACCCCAGCTGGCTCCTTACCTGCGTGCAGGTTTCCCCCACTAGCGAGGCTGTGCTCCCCCCGGCCGCATCCAGGTACCCCCGGGCTGGGGATGGATGGGGGGATACCAAAAAAAAGGGCTGCGGGCACGGCTGGAGGCTCCGCTTCGGAGGCAGTCGGTGGTGAAGGGGGGTAAGGGGGGGGTAAGGGGCTTCTTCTCGCAGGCAGGGATGCTGCCAGCGCAGGGGGCTGCACCCCGGAGCCCACGTTTTTAAGGAAAAGGGAGGGATGGGGGAGAGGGAGGGAGGGAGGATGGACGGCGGCTGGGCAGAGCCAGCCCCGGCTGCCTGGCTTCTCCCACTGCGTAAGAGAAAAGCAGGGAAGGGGGGGGAGAAGGAGAAAAAGAGAAGGGGGGGAATAATAAATAACCAAAGGGAAAGCGAACCTACACCTGCGAGCCCAAGGGCAGCGTCCTCCCCTCCCCGCAGGAGTTCCAAGCTGCCGGCCGCCCCCCCATCCCACCCCCGGAGCAGGGAGGGGGGTCCATCACCTTCCCCCCCCCCAAAAAAAAAAAAAAAAAACCCGACACAGCCCCCAGTTGTGGAGGGGACCCGCAGCCTACCTGGGGTGGGTTCTCCCACCCAGAGGCACTGGGAAGGATGGGGGTACGGGGGAGACAAGGCTTCGGGATGCGAATTCTTCCCTCCTCTGCAATTGTGCAACCTGAACGCTGGGCTAGCGCAGGAGAAGCAGAATGGGGGATTTGACCTAGAAACTGGCAAAAAATACAAGGAGGACTGAGAAGTGAGGGGGGAAAAAACCTGTTATTGTTTAGTGTTCTGCTAGCAGCATTCGCTAAAGGTCATTTTTTTGTAACACAAAGCATCCTGCACTTCGGATCAGAGTTACAGTAGCACATTTATTTCAAGTAGCTGCAGTGGTAAATTCATTACCTTAGGTGGTGTGATCCATGTAGACCCCCCCAGGTCCCTGCTGTTCCCAGTCTGGCCATGGGACATTGACCACAATAGACTCAGTGCCCAGGAGCTGCAGAGCCCCCCAGGTATGCCACCCCCCAAAACAGCATGCAAAGAGGTCTTTGGCATCCATCCCCAGTTTGATTCCAGATCAGGGGCAGATGGGCTGCTGAAAACAAGAGCCTCATGGTCCAGCGCCTCTGGCTATCTATAGTGTTTCCCTGAAGATGCCATTTCCCAGCAGTTCGTGTTGGGGGCACAAGCAGAGACACACGGGTCAGATCCAATTTGGGGCACATTGCTATTGCCCAGAAGGAGACGGAGAAAAGGAAAATGGCCTTTCGGGGAGCAAATGCTGCTTCTCTTCCAGAGCCCACAGCCCAACGCAGAGCTGCTTAGGCCCAGCAGACACAGTCTGCTCCAGTTCTGCTTTAATGGATGTCTGGGGATATTTAGCACAGAAGCTACACCTTCTTTATAGGGAGTGTAATGGTATGGCATAGTAATGCACGGTAATTTTCCTGAATGCTTCCATAAGAGCAGGTCTCAGCTGTAACAGGGAACATGGGAAAAAGCATGACCCAGAGATGCAGCCCTCTTGTGAAATACAACAGTCTTAGCGCTTGAAGGTGGGTTTTTTTGGTCAGTCCATTAACGAAAGAGTGTGAAATAAATACTAGACTAGACATTACTTTAATTGTTAATGGATTGATTTTCAAAGGCTGAAGGAAGGACAGCAGTAAATCAGTGTGAGACAGCCTGGCTGGACAGCCCAGGAGTCTACGGGAAAAGAGTGTTTGCAAATTCAGCTCTGCTCCTCTCTGCTGGCTCCCACCCCAATAAATGCACTTAGCCCTTCACATACTCGTTTTATGTTCATTCAGTGCAGCAAATACAGCATGTTCACCTATTTGTCTTGTTGGGGTCCTTGTTTTGACTCGATACAGCCCAGTGTTTTGGAATGAAAGGGGATCAGGATTGCCACCTTGAACTGCTGACCGCCAAGACATGTTTTGTGTCTGGGACTAAAACTCTTCCAAAAATTCTCCTCTCCTATCCATCTAGCATCTTCATACTGTTCAGCCCTGTCCTCTTGCACAGGAAAAAGCCCGGGATGTTCATGCCACACACCTTCAGTCCCAATCCTGCTGTTTCACCCGATTTCACCCCAATCCTAATTCAACCATGAAGAGATCTGTCCTTCCAGAACATCTCATGGTCAAGAGCAGGAGACTTGCCAGATTTTTTCCCTATCAGAAGTCTTCCCCCTGTCCATTGGGACCTATGCACCAAGGCTGAGAAGGAAGGCCACCAAGACTTCATCTGCATGACCCAAAAGGACTTCTCCCAGCCTATTTCTTAGAAAACCAGATCAACTCTTCTCCTTGAAGATTTCTATGCAGACAGCAATGTAAACAAAGCCAAAAAAGAAAAAGCCAAAAATGCAATCCTTCTTCCAGACGATGATTGCCCAGAAAGCATGCACGAAGGCAGCAGGTGACGCGCCATGAATAGATGCTGGATTTACAAGAAGGTGTCCAGAGCATCAACATGTAAGTCAAAAACACATTCATGGTGCAAATATCTCTTTTTTCAACCCCACTTTCCATTGAATATCTGCAAAATAAGACTCAAACTGAAAATATACAAAAGTTTGTTAATTGGTGTGCTGGTTTTGTGGTGCAGCTGTGTGGTGCTTAGCTGCCAACAGGGGTTAAACCATGACAATTGGGTAAATAATTAGAATACCATAAAAAAATTAAGATTTGTCTGAAAATGAGCTTTGTGCATATTTGGGGGTTTTTTTGTTTGTTTTTTTTCAAATTTTCAGAGGCTTTATATTATAAGAACCACAGCTGGGACCCAAGCACACTTGTTTTCTGCTTGGTTAATGGATATATGTTGGCAGAGGCAGGACCCTGGGCTTTCCTCACATACCTATAGCATATTTATCTCCAAACTCCTGGACCATCAGTACAGTCTACACAGTTATGGATGAACAAACCTTATCTATTTCAAGCTAATCTAGTTCAAGTGACAATAATTACACCTACCATCGTTTCAACCGGGTTAACTTTACAGACGCTGTTCCTAAACATGGAGAATTTTTGCTGCTTTTGCAGAAAACAGCCCACAGCCACCTGCATTTCATAATAGCAACAGCCCACAGATTTTTGCCTTTCCTTTCAGGAGGTGAAGACATCTGCATGTCAGAGCTGTTTTGCCACCTTTAGCATAGTTTGCCAATCTGTTTAATCAAGGCCATCATGAGCAGAGAATTAATTTTGCAAGACGTGAAATCATTTCTTCCGCAGGGACAAGCACCTGGGCTGGAGACAAGAGGGAGGAAGGCTGGGGGGAATGCAGAATGTGCTGGAGAGGATGGAGAGCAAAGGTTCAAAAATGCAGCCCTTACTCCTGGGATGATGGGCACCTGCCAACCACATGCCAAATGCTAATTAGCTAAATTTGCACCCCAACCACTGATGGGGACTGAAATTTGTTCTTTGCACATTAATCATCACACAAATTCAGCAACCAGCCGAAGACAAAAGGCACACACAGGGAGACACACAGCCTCATTTCTCCCACCCCTGTCCACACCATAAACACTGAAACCATCTCTGGTTAATACACACAGCCTCCACTCATCAAAACTGATGGCCTTGGCAGTGCATTACCATTGGTGAACCCATTCGTTTCAAGCACCATAAAACTGGGCTCAAGCTGTTTGGTAGAATGAGAAACAGAAGCGACAGGCAGGTAGGACTGTTATTTGCTGTTAAACATTTATGCAAAAAAGCACAAAAGGTCTTGTTTTCCTGACCAACTGTTCGCACTTTTGAGTAGTCAGCTGTTGGCTGCTCAAACCCCCCCACATTCACCCCTCCAGCAATAATTGCATTTGAGGAGCATTCCCTCTGGCACGCCATTTCACCCTCTTCAGCCTTGGCCTTAACAAGCGCTTCCCTGAGCTCTTTGCTCATTCTTTCCCAGCTTTCTAGTTTTGTTAAGCAGCCGTACAAGTCAAGGTAAGCCCAGCAGCAGCTTGGGCTAGCCATGGCCTCCCCAAGGCCAGCATCACCAGCAAGCACTGGGAGGTCCTTGAGCATGACTGCTCCCTTCACTGGGTCAGTGTTGAGCAGGAACATTAACTGTGTCTGCAGCTGAGCAGGCAGAGCAGCGCCAGCAGGCATTCCATCTTTCAGCAAAGCATGAAACACTAAGAAAGCAACCAGAGCAGGTACTGGGTTTTAATAACAACAAAAAAATAAATATATATACCTCCACACAGCAAAACTGCATTACAGCTAGAGAAGTTAGAGCAAGAGCTCGAGCTCTTTCCAGAGCTGAAAAACCTGCAAAACAGACATGGAAAATGAGATCTAGGATGGTGAAGCCACAGAATAGCACACGGAAGTCACTGCTCAGCCCTGCACTAGCTCCAGAAGAGCAAGAGATGTTGGGTTCAGTATATGAACATTCT